TCGACGAGCTACGCCCCACCACCGAGGCCACCACGCCCACCGCAATTAACGTGGGGGGCGTTAAAAGTGGGAGGAGGGGACTTCCCTTTGCTCCGGATCCCTCTTTCCACCCAAAAATCCAGAATGGAGGAGGTGGGGCATATGCCCCCTAGTTTTATACCAGGTCCGTGCTCGTGCGCTTGCCCTTGCTCACCTGTCTCCGCTGCGCGCGGACGAGGTTCTCGCCGAGCCGGATCAGGTCCAGGCCGGACGCGTCGGCCTGCAGGCTGCTCAGCACGGCGCCGTCAACGACCAGCATGCGTCCCTGGGGCAGCAGGATGATGGTGGGCGTGCACACGGAGCCCAGGGCGTCCTCGGCCTGCAACAAAGACACACGCCGTCAGCAACAACATCAGGGTAGGGGCTTCGACTCCCACACCGGATAACTACGGCGGCCGCCATTCGGGCGCCGTTTGGCGCAGAGTCGCAATATCCGTTCACTCGACTTGCCTTCCTCATAATCGCCGCCGCTGCGCCTCTTAAGGGCAGCAGGGCCGAGAGGAGAGGCAGGCGGCTGCGTCCGAACGACGACTCTCTCTCTCACTCTCTCCCGTGATGCCGGTCGGTCGACTGCACCTTCAGGCTCGGCTCGAGGTGGGCGGTAAGCTCGACGGAGCACGGAGCACGGCGGCACCCAGCGCACCCAGCCCGCAGCACCAATCCGGTCCACCGGCCAGGAAATGAGGCCCCCGCTGCTGCTGCTCCAGGAGGTGGAGGTGGTGGAGGCTGTGCTGACGGCTTCGCCCTGCCTCTCCTGACGTGACGCACGCCGGCGACTGTCACCCCGGCGCCGACATGGCGGGCCCAGCCGAGGAGCAGGTGTCGCGCGGGAGGCGGCCTCGGGGCGGAGGGCGTCGCCATGGCGTCGCCTACCACCGGCGCGAGCTCAGCTCAGGGGGGCGCGGCGGGCGCAGGGGATAGCGTCTGCAATGCGCGCTTCCGAATCACCGCGCGAGACAAAACTGAGTGGGGCCTCAACACACGCCGACGTCTATGAGTAACGTCTGTGCAGAGATCCGGCGGGTGGAAAAGGGAGAAGGGAGGGACGGGGGTCTGGCTGCGCGGCCCCGCGGGGATTGGGACCGGGAGAGAGGCGCGCGTGGAGCAGGGATTTGGGAAAGGAGCAGCGAGAGAGGCCCAGCCCCTCCACTCCCGCACCGCCGCCGCACCGCTCCCGCGGGAAGGGAGACGCCGCCGTGGGGAAATGAGATCCTAATGTAATGCTTGAGTAGCGTGAAATCCAACGAGTGATCGCCCAGCTACGCTATACGACGCTACGGGGGCGCCGTCCGTCGCCATGGCCCAGGGGCACGTGCGAGCACGTGCCCGTCCTCTCGCCCCCACCCCTCCCCTTCCGTCCTCCTCACTCTCTCCTTACCGCCACCCGAGCCTAGACACGACTAAATTATGTGGTGTTGTCGCCCCTCCCCTCCTCACGTCCACCCAACAGTCCGCCCATCATTCATTAGCTGAGCAAAGAGCGGCGCCGACGCACCCCGTTCAAAGAAATAGTCGGGCGAGAGGCTGATCAGTAACAAACTGGAGGTGAAAGCGATAAAGGGGGACGGAGATGGACGAGTTAAGGGAGAAAAGCTTGTTGCTCTATGTTCAGGAGCCTGCGTTCATAGGCAAACGACTCTTAAAAATCTGGGCTTATTATTGACTCGCCTACATGCGAGGCTGAAGCTGAGAGAGAGAAGGGGGAGGGGGTGGGCGTGGGGGAGGAGCGGCGTATACTGTACGACCAAAAGCAGGGCCAACGAAAAGCCACTACTTTGGCTCGCTCTGCTTGGCGGGATGGCCCTGTCCACCCCGGCAGCGCCACACTACGCCGCGCCCCGCAGCGCACCATAAGAAAAAAGTAGTGACCTCTAGGCGTCTTCCAGCTCCCTGCCCTAACCCACCAACGCCCCACCCTCACAAACGGCCACCAGCTTCGCACCGAAAAAGACAAACAGCAAACTTTAAAACGAAGCCGAAATCCACCTGAGCGGGTGGTGGCGGAGCGTAGTGGCAGTGAGGGTACAAGTAGTGAGAGAGTCAGAGAGTCCGGCTGCGGAGGGGCAGCAGGGGACGAAGGTAAAAAGTAAGGAGAGAGAGAGAGAAAAAGAGAGAAGAGGATGGGAGAGAGGGAGAAGGAAAAAGGGGGAGGGGAGGGGGGTGAGAGTAAGGGCAGCGAGAGAATGTGGATGTGCGGGTGCGATTAAAACGTTTGGCATAAAAGCTTTCCACTCGGACACAGATTTGCACTTTCAATTACAGCGCGCGGGTGTGACGTGGCGAGGGGGTTGGCGCCGGGGCCGGGGCCGGGGCTGGGCCGGGCGCGCTGGGTCCTGCTGCAGGGGCGGGGCGGGCGCGGGGCGCGCTGTGATGTGACGTCACGTGACTGCTAACCTGGCACCCCACCCCCACCAACACCGCTCCGCTCCTCATCAATATCAATCCACTGCAACTTGACGCTTCACGCTACGCTATTAGGCTTTGTCGCCCGCGAGCGTGCTATATAGCGGCGGAGGGAGGAGGAGGGAAGCGGAGTGATGCGGAGGGAACGACAGCCAGCAAGCCACACGGGCTATTGGGGCTGTATGAAGAAAAACAACCCGTAAAACAAACAAACGAAAGAGAAAACGAGGCGAGCTCGCGGGCGCGCGCAGAGAGAAGGTGGCAGTGGAGCGGAGCGGCGGAGCGCCGGGGAGGTAGGCAACGCTAGCACACGCGTGTCGCGCAGCGAGGGTATTGCCTAACCCTCAGGCGCTCTCCTTCCCCCAACAAACAGGATGTCGCCGCCGCCCGTTTTGCGAACTCTTATCCCCGCTACTAACAGTGTGTTGTTCTCCGACACCAAAAATATCGATTTGTGAAATTTATTCGGCGGACAGAGGGAGAGAGATAGATAATAAAGAGGTCTCTTGGGACCGGTTCGCCATGGGGCTGGCCGGGGCTGGCCGCCGGGGCCCGAGCCCGCCTGCAGGCACCACGGCGGCGGGGGAGGAGACGAGGGTAGGAGGAAGGGACAAATAGATGGGGGTAAAAGCGAGGAGCGTCGGGTAGCACCGCGCAGCGCCGCGACGGCCCAAGGCGAGCCGGAGTCACCAAGAAAAATGTCGACAACAAAAGAGCGCAAATATTTAATGAGCGTTTTAGAATGCTGCGTGTGATGTGGGCCGACCACTGGGACCGGAACCGGGCGAAGGGAGGCGAGAGAGAGAGGGAAGGAAAGAGAAGGGGGAGGGATGGGAAAGGGGGATGGGGGAAGACAGAGTGAGAGGAGGCTTCCCCTTTTGTTTCTCGTCTCTTTTACCTGCGAGGGAACGTCACTTAGGCAGCGGGCCGCTGCAGCCAAGCAGAAGCAAGCGCAGAGCCCCACGCGGATGAGTGGGAAGAGGGGAAGAGAGAGAGGGGAGGAGTGTCCGGACCCTCTCAAGTAAGTGTCAATGTGAAGGAGACGTCATCTCGCTTCTCGCCCGGCCTGCGAGGGGCCTCGCTCGCCTCCTCCCCCTCCCCTGCCCGCCCGAATCCCCGATGCATGACATGGCCGCATTATTGATGCGATTCTTTGCCGCCAGGGTGAATATAGAGCGTGCTGCACGACAGCGCGCGTGTGGGAGCGGGCGGGGCGGGGCGGGGCGGGGAGCCCCCTCTACCCCCTCCTGCTCGAGCTGCTCACAAGCGGGGCGCCGTCGCGCCTCTGAATTAAATCTAAACTTCTTCTTCTTCTGGCAGCCCAGGGGGGGGAGTTAATGGTGCATAAAGATGCATCTTGTAAAAGTGTGTGTTTACAGGGGACATGACTCCAATTTCTCAATTTCTTTTATACACTCTCTAGTCGTATGTATGTAAACAACTGGGAGGACTGCGTCAGTGTCAGTCATCCTGTCCTAGCGCGGCGTGCTAACTAGCGAGGCACTGCGGCGTCCTTCTTGCGCTTCCCCCTCCCCCTCCCCCTCCTCCCTCAGCAATGAGGCAAGCCCCTTTGGTTTTTGTAGGCTGTACGCCAAGCCACACCAGGCCACGCCGCGAGGAAGTCCCTGGGGTCCTAGGGGAGGGAGG